CTGCTTGGTAAGTGAACCATGCACCCCTCTCACTCTTCTGAACAATACGTCTGTGACTTCCAACCTCTGCTTCTGTCTTATTCTGGAATTAATGGATGAAGTCGCCAGTCACTGTTAGGCTGCTTCCACACACTGCATAGCAGGGCCACAACAGTGAACACTGCAGACCAGGTCCCCGCAACCCCACTATGGTTCATAGTTTCCTGAGCAAGTACGCTGTGGTTGCTGCCTGCTGGTGTCCTGCAGTCCCCCTCTGCCTCCCCCTACCTTTATATGTCTACCTCGTCTCACCTCCTCTTCAAACTACCTTCAGTCTCTTCAGCCCACAGGTGCAATCCCTTTCAGGATTTCTTCCATTCTTATGTGAGGGTTCCTTTAATTATTCTCAGATATTTCCATGTATATTAGTTTTAACTCCTTAGCCAGATTGTGATTTCCTTAAGTTTCAGTGTTTTTATTTGCTATGTTCTCTCTCCAATGCTGAGTGTGTTGTTTGTCATTGCTATAGTACGGTAGTATCCACAATAATCACTACTTAATTATGTGTAATTAGAAATAATTAGGGTAATACACTGAACTTGACATTGCATGAAGTGGTTTATAGGCCATTTCTTATCTAATGAATGGGTATTCAGCATGTACTCAAGTGACTTAGGAAGACTTGCTCAATTGGTCAGCAGCTGTAGGTCTCAGGATGTCACTTCTGTGACTGAGACTCAGCTTTTCCATCTCTGGTCTCACCTTCCTGTTACTGTGAGATACAGAAGAAAGGTTTATTTTGACTTACAACTTTGGAGGTTCCAGGCTGTGATTTATTGGCCTTGTGGATTTGGGCCAGTGTTAGCACATCATGGTGGGGGTTTATGGTGGAACAAAACCCCTCTCCTCATGGGTGGAGAGCAGAAAAAGAGGAAAAGGAAGAGACGGAGAGGGTCTTACTCTCCCCTACACCCACAATGACTAGAAGACCTCCCCCACCCCCTTCTAAAGGTTCCACCGCTTCCTAAAGGTGCCATGGGCTGGGTTCAAGCCTGCAACACAGGAGCCTTTGAGTGACCCAAACTACAGCATCTACACAATGGAGAGCTGGATGCCTGCTTTTCAAGGTTCTTGCCATTTTCAACTGTCTGGTTCAATCCAATTTCAAATCACTCTTGTTTAGGGAATCCTTACATGTACTCTATACAGATTTGTCACTTAGGGAATATAAACCAAATAGGGCTCAGTCCCTTCCCTTATTACGATCTAGTGTAATAACAGGAAGCCGGAGGTATCCAGGGATAGAGAACAAGGGAGCAAATTACTTCACGAGGAGAAAGTGGGGGAGATTCCTGACAGTCTATTGTAATTAGAAGCTTCGTGAGGGAGGAGAGATTTCCTTTCAGTGTAAAGGAGGCAGTTGATGGAGTGGGAGTACAGAGACACCTCTTGGCAGCACTGGTGACCACAACAAGCTATTCAGCAGTGAATCAGGCAGGGCTCTGTTTAGGAGCCACCAACTGGACATTTTGGGTGTGTTAAATTTCCAGTGGTGAACATGTGGATATTGATGTAACATAAAACAGGAGAATCTTGACTACATCCAAAAAGTATGTGGAGCTCAGAGAAGTGAAGCATTTGGACATTTGAGATGATCCTCTGGCTAGAGCCATTTATTTTGGATCCCCAAAAGCTGAGAGTCAGCCACGGGAGAGCATCCATTGTGAGGATGATAAATCTGGATTCCTGTCATGCTATTATACAATTAATTACAATTAGCCAATACTAGTGTTTACTGGGCAATATGTCTTTCTTCAACTCGAAAAGGAATTGAAGTGTCTTGCAAACATATTTGCCACAGGACAAAATAAAAATACAAGAGAGAAAATAAAAATAGAAATAATAGGGTGAGACCATAGGAAAAGCCGAAGGTCGACCAGAGGTGGGTTGCATGCTGGGTATTTTCCTGTAGCTGGGATATAATACTCCACACCCACGATTTAAAGGAGGAGACAGTTATTTTGGCTCACAGGTTTTAGAGGATTCAGTTCGTAGTCGGTTGGCTCCAAGCCAGGAAGAACATGCTGGAAGGGTTCTGTGGAGGAAGCTGCCCATGTCTTGGCAGTCAGAAAGTAGAGTCAAGGGGGAAGCCAAAGAGGAGAATACACCTTTCTGGGTCACCCCTCTAGTGACTCCCTCCAATCAGACTCCACTTCCTCGGCATAGTCAGGGCTCCTGTGATCCAATCACCTTCCAGAAGCCCCACCTCTGAACACATGAAACTTCTGGGGGCCTTTGAGGATCTAAATCATAACAGCATCTTAGCAGCCAATGCAATCTTTCTTTTAGGGAAAGATTTTATTTTTAGTATGATAATGTCACCTCCTTAAGAGTCCAAGCTTTTATTCAGAGACTTATTGATGAAAATGATTTTGGATATTGGATAATCCTGTGTGCTTTTATTTATGTTGTTTGCTTTTAAGAAAATTCATTAGAAATACAGGCTCAAAGCAAAACACCAGTCCAAGGCTTTTTGGCTGAGCTTCGGAGGCCACATTGTTAATATACTCATGATCTTACTTATGGAAACCCCAGTTCTGAGGCCAGAGAGAATTTCCTCTTTGGAAAACATAATTGTTGTGAATGATTTCCTTCTAGGAAAGGCTTTTATCTTTGCTTCCCGCTACACACCTTCTCCCTAAAACATACTTTGCTTGCTTTGTGCCATCTGCGGGGAAGTATGAATCTGCCTCAAGTCTTCAGGCTGTTTACATCTGAGAGCAATGGAGTAGAGTGGTGACTGGAAGGTGCCTGCCCTGCTCTGACCTGCCCTGCATCCCCCTTTCTTGTACTCAGCGTGAAGCAACATGAGCGCTACAGCCAGCTGACCCTAGTCAACTCCACCGCAGCCGACACAGGGGAATTCAGCTGCTGGGGGCAGCTCTGCACTGGCTACATCTGCAGAAGGGACGAGGCCAGAACGGGCTCTACCTACATCTTTTTTACAGGTAATGTGCTTAGTGCATTAGTGGAACCCTTCCAACTTCTGCACTTGGCCCAGAACTGGGATTTCCACTGCATGCTGAATAGCAAATGATAGGAAGAGCCCTCGCTATTTAGGCTCTGGGCTAAATGCTTTACATCAATTACATCATGTAAATCCTGCAGTACTTCAGAGTAAGTATGAACATCATTTCTTTTTTTCTTTTTTCCTATGGGAAAGTTGAGGTTTAGAGAGATTAGCTAAATCTCTAAGGTCACACAGCAAGTAAGTGGTGGTACCAGGATTTGAACACAGAACTGATTCTAAGGTCTCTACCTGTATGGCTCAGTATGGTAGTCTCTGAACACATGGGGTACTTAAATATAATTATTAGTTGAAATTAAATAAAATTAAAAACTGATGTCCTTGGTCACACTTGCCACATTTCAGGTTCGGTGGTGATGTGTAGCTAGTGGCTGTGGTACTGGACAGCACGGAGAACATTTCCATCACAGACAGTTCTATTGGATAGTACTATCCAAAACTCCAGTTTTCCAACTTCCAGTTTTCAGTGTCAGAGTAAGGAATCAAACTGTTTTTCTGACCTAGGATCCAGTGTTATTACTGCTTAAACTCTCTCTAGGACAAAGCATTAAACAGACCGATAGAACTGGCTGGAACTGTCAGGAGCATTGTTCTCAGTTGCTCACAGGCAATCCCTTTGGGTCTTCATTTTGGAAGATGCTGCACAGAATTGTGCATATGCCCTTTGTATATCACACTGCAAAGCAACAGTAGAAAAGGCAGCTAAGACAAGTAAGAGTCCATTATCCCAAACAAGGATGGAAGCCACATGTCAAGTTGCTCAATAAAGATCCTTTGCCAAGTTTAGCACTATTGTGTCTTCCCAGACTGTTTCAGGTTTTTAACTGAAGGCTTCACTTGAGGACAATATTCCATTAGATTTATGGGTTCTCTTTGAATTTTGTAAGTAGGTCTCTTTCTTAATTTACTGATGTCCTTTAGGGAGGCTAAAACAGATTTACCTTGACTTTCAAGAAACAAAGTCAAGGCAGGTGTGGTGGTGCACACTTGTGTAAGATCGACACTCGGGAGGTTAAGGCAGGAGGATAGCTGTGAGTTTGAGCCAGCCTGGGCTATATAGTTAAAGGCCAGCCTGAATTACTTAGTGAGACTTTGTTTCAAAAAACAAAACAAAGCAGAAACCAAGTCAAAACCAGAAGTGACCAAATATGTTGTGTCTTTTTAAAATTTCCTCAATGCTAAGCCAAATGTCCAGGTGGATTTTCATTATAGGGTTTGGCAGTTTGTCCTTCCAAGTGTGGATGGATTTGGAAAACCCAGATGGCTGGTTACAGAAGCTGAGGTTCCCATTGCTAGCTCTGAATTCTTTCAGAACATATGCTTCTCCACTACCCATGTAGAGAATAGCTGCCGTTCATTCTTAGAGTTTGGATGAAAATACTTTGAAGCTTCTTTTGGGGGACTAACTGTTATTAATTTGTACACTGTTGGATTAAGTGATTGCCCCACATATTTTCTCTTCATCTTTATCCAGAAGGCTCTCAGAAGGGCTTCTTCTCCCACTTCCTATTCCTATAACATACATAAAGGTAAACATTCAGGTCCTGAGTATACAGCTCAGTAAGTTGTCCTCAGGGAGCAGACACGTGTAACTATCACCCATCAAGGCGGAGAACATTACAGGCAGGAGGGCTCTCTTAGAGTGCAAGGCCTGAGCAATTATTTTTCATATGTAGGAAAACCACGTTAATAAGTATTTTACCAAATACTGAATTTTCCATAATGTGGATATTAGTTTATAGACTTTAATTTTTTGAAATATAAAATCCCATGTGTTTAGTAAAAAAATAATAAAATAATATGTTACATGCATAAACACATTTATAAGAGACATATTTTACCTATAATTTAAAAAATGAATTTCAACATACTTTTTCTGTTGTAGACAGAAGTCACTCCAGGTTTGAAAGGCCTGTGGATTCAGGATGTAGACAGTACATACATAGAGTCTGTGTGTGTGTGTGTGTGTGTGTGTGTGTGTGTGTGTGTGTGTGTGCAGGGGATTCTGGGCATAGAAACCTGGGCCTTGTGCATACTAAGCAAGCATTCTACTACTGAGCTATACCTCTAGCTATGCAAATACTTTAAATTAAAGCACATATCATAGTACAAGAGGTAAGGTATCATTTTGTGGTCTGAAATTCAGATTGTTTAATTCTTCTGGCCTGGCTCATTGGTTCTACTTACAAGTCCTTAAAGCAAAATTTGCCTCTACAATCTTATAATTGTAAAATCCTTAAGTGTTATTGCTAAAAAGGTCTTTAATATTATCTACTCCATATTCTCTTTATGAAGGGGGATGTCGAAGCATGGACAAATGAAGTAACACATCCCAGGCCATATAGACACACTCTGTGTAAGCACGGGGATGCCAGGTATAATAGAAAATGCCCCTTGCCAAAGCCTGAAAGTCAAATTATCATAAAGTAGCATGAATCACCCAAGCTGGTTGATACAAAGCCTGGCAATGATGGAGACTCTCTGAGCTATAACATACTACTTCCTAATTATAGAGCCAAGAGGAAGGACTTCCATGTTTGTGAACTTGGTTCTTGCAGCAAAAGAGCTTTGGCCCATGGAGACATTTGATGTAGTTTCCAGGAATCCCGTTACCAACCCAAAACATCATACAGTGGTAACATAGAAAGCTAGTGGAGGAGAAAGCCAAGAATAATGACTTGTTTCAGAAATACTACAAGGAAAACAGAAGAAACCCTTTAACAAGGATTGTGTGGTATGCTTAGCTCCAAAGATTTATCTTAGTGATTACTATAAAATTCCCTGATAGAATAATCCAAAAGATAAGGATTTAATGTGCTGTGCCAAATAAACAAAACACATGGGTACACAGACATACACATATACACCCCAGACCCTTGACTTAAGGGTAGCATGGGTCAGCCAGTCCTTCTTTATCCCATTTATGTAGGATAAAAATGCCATCAATCTAGGGTTCAAAGGATCTGCTAGAATACATTTCAGAGGGAAGATAAGGAGGTAAGAGGTTGACTGAAGGTTCCCAGCCAAGTAGTGGTCAAGCAGAGGCCAGACCTGAGACCAGCAGGTTCCTCCCTGTCCCTGCTCCACTCCCTTATACTATCTTGGGTGGCTTTAGGTCCTGTGGGCAGGGAACAAGGCAGATGAGGATGCAGATACTGTCACAGTGCTGAGCCTACCAGAAGAACTCAATGTGTTGGGAAATGTCTCCCAGTTGGCAGTTACTGACTATAGCTATGGGGCTAATTTCTCTGCATAAAAGCAGGAATTGTTCCAAGATTTAAAATTGCTCTTAACATAAAGAAATCAGTCTTCTTCCCTTCTTCCTCAGTGTGGTGATCCATGGTCTGATTTGGGTTGGAACTAAGACCTTTTTTGTTTCTTTTAAGGAGATGAGAAGTGTGTTGGTCAGCTCTGTGTCACCAAAGGAAAATACTCAAGGCAATTAACTTTTCAATAGTAAGGGTTCATTTTGGCTTACAGTTTTGGAAGTTCCAGTCCATGATCAATTGGCCCCATCTCGTTGGGCCTGTGGCAAGGCAGCACATCGTGGCAGGATCATGTAGTAAAGCAAAAGCACTCACCTCATGGCCAGGAAGCAAAAAAGAAAAGACTCACAATCCCCTCTTAAGCCACATGCCAGGCCCTCCCACTAGGCCCCAACTCCTAAAGGGTTTAACACCTCGCAGTAGTGCCACTGTGGGGACCAAGCCTTTAACATGTAGACTTTGGGGGAACCTTCAACATATAATCTGTAGCAGAAGTAAAATCATTCTTCCAAAAAAATAAAAAGCATGAGAAAGTCAGCTTTCTCTGTTTAAAAGGACCCAGTATTCTGAGTTCATTGCAAGTCCTCTCATCTTTGTGCATGAGTGTTAAGAATCCTTAAGGCACTCTTAACAAATGTCTCCACTGTAAATGAGAATGTGTTTTCCCTTTTGCAGAGAAAGGAGAACTCTTTGTACCTTCTGCCAGTTATTTTGATGTTGTCTACCTGAACCCGGACAGACAGGCTGTGGTTCCTTGTCGAGTGACTGTGCTGTCAGCCAAAGTCACACTGCATAGGGAGTTCCCTGCCAAGGAAATCCCAGCCAATGGAACGGACATTATTTACGACTTGAAGAGAGGCTTTGTGTATCTGCAGCCTCATTATGACCACCAGGGGGTGGTCTATTGCAAGGCCGAGGCCGGGGGCAAGTCTCAGATCTCCATCAAGTACCAACTGCTCTATGTGGAGGGTAAGTCTGCTACCCCCAATTCCTGGATTTTAGTTACTTCACACGGGTCCCCATCAGGAACTGCTATTCTCTGTTATGGATGGAAATATAGAGGCATAGAATGCTGTTCTGATGGGTTCCCCTACTGTCTTTCCACTTCTAGAATGTTCTACTTCTTTGCCCTGACTCTGACCCAACATTCCTTTATTGCCTCCCTCCAAATTCTCCCACCAGTAGCTCTGATACTGCCTCTGTGTTTGATTAGTCCCTTGTATTTGTAGCCTCCTCTTGGAACATCCTCCCAGCCTCTTTGTTTTAACCACAATCCCCTCCATTTCCTTGATGGTGAAGTATGAGGTAGCCAGCCACTCAAGCAGATGCCTTGGGCTCCCGGTAGCCCCCATTCTGCCATCTCTCCCAGGACTCTTCCACCCTGAACTGGTGGCACAGAGGCAGGCTGGTGAGCAGATCCCTCCCTGGGGCCTTCTTTCTCCCTTGACTGCCTCAGCAGAGAATCCCCTCCTAGCCCACTGGAGAGGAGAGAGCAAGATTTCTCCATGCACTGTGATCCCTCCAAGATGAATTTCCTTTCTCTGAGAACTCTTCTGCTGCTGAGTGGTCTGTGAGTGGGGTGGAGTCCTTCCCACTGCTATTGTGGTTCTTAAGCAGCCCTGTGGAGAAATGCATGTCCCAGAGCTAGCTTTCTCTGAAATTAGAATTTGGGCTCTTTAATGCCTCCTGTTCCCAGCTGTGAGCCTTATTCAGTAGGGCATGGCCACTCTCTGTTACCAAGTAACTCTCACAAACTGTCTTTGGCCACCCTCAGCCCTTTGCTAAGGCCATCCTCTCTCTTAGCACAGCCAGACTCCCTGAAAGAGCCCTCTGTACTCCCTGGCTGCACATCCTTTCCTCCCACACGCTCCTCAGCCCCTGCCTGTTAGCTCTCTCCCCTGTCCTCCACCAGAACAGCCTTGCCAGCCTTGCCAAGGATCTCAGGGACTCTCCACTATTAAACTCAGCAGGCAGTGTCTGTCCTCATCCAACCAGAGTCCATCTCTCCTGTATCAGACTCCCAGCGCCACTTTTCTGCTCATCCCCCTCCTGCCAGCATTCTCACTCTGCTTTGTCAGCTCTTTGCCTTCTGTTCTTAAACATCAGGGCACCCCAAAGTCCCCTTCTTTTTCACTTCTTGAAGTGAAGCTTCACCCATACCCATGGCCTCATGCGTATCTATGTATTTATTAATGGCTCCCGAGTGAGTATCTGTGGCCCAGAGCCATGAGCACTGAGTTCATGTGTCCAGCTCCCATCTGCCTTTAGGTGCTCCACAGGCCACTCAGCTCCGACGGGCCCAGCAGTGCACTCAGCATTGCTCTCCTGGGTCTGGTTCTCCTACATTCTCTGCCTCAGTGATGACAGCACATTTGCCCAGTGTGCAGGCTCAGAGTCCAGCCCAGCCCCCTTCTCTTCCTGTCTTTTAGTCTTTCATTAAATCATTTTCAAAGGCAGTGGTTTCTCTCCACCCTTACTATGAAAAGGGCTCAAGTTATCATACATTTCTAGAACAAATACGAATATCTTTCTAAACATGTCTTCCTCTTTCTCCAATCCATTTTCCACACTGTTGGTGATTATAATTCCAATTAAACTATCCCATAGGTTCCCCTCTCTCCTAGGGCCACAGTCACAGTCTTCCATGTGGCCTGCCCTTCTCCATCTCTGTCCTCCTCACCTGCCTGGTCTGGCTCCTCTTCTTCCCTCTGCTGCCTCCACTCGGGGCAGGGCAGCCTTCATCTCACCTTAAGGGCTGTGCACCCAGGGATTTCTGGCCTGCCAGTCCCCCTTTCCCCATCCAAGTCTTTTAAGCTTACCCTTAAGATTTTGCTTCCTTTGTTCAGACTTTGCTTTCTCAAGGAAGCCTTCCCTTGCTCAGACTATTCTGAACTTTCAGAGCAGTCTGGGCTTCTCCCCCATGTCTCTTAACACAGTTTTAAAGAAACCATATAATGACTTGCTTAGCGGCCCCTCCCCAGGAATGTACACTCAAAGGGCACAGAGTATGGTTTTGGCTTGTTGGCTCCTGTGATCCCAGCTTCTAGCACATTTCTTTGCTCTAGGCTATCATGAAAGTTACTTGCAAACAAAGAAATAATGAAGAAATGTGTTTCTGAAATGCTATGAAGTAAATGCACTGCAAACACAGGTAGCACCAATGCCCTTCCTGGAAACATCTTTCTTATCCATATATTTATTTAGGCTTCTGTTTTTTCTGAGAATGGATGGCCACACACCTATGTGTCCGCCTCCAACCCTCCCGATGCTACCATTCAGCTGCTTTCATTATGTTCTTCTTGCTCTTACCTGAAATACCTCCCCCGCCCCCGCCCGCCTCACCTTTTTATTCCCTTCACATGACCCCTGGCCAAACTGTTAGCCTCCCACCCTATCAGCATGGTGGCCTTGGAGCCTTGGAGTCATTCTAGACTCCATTCTGTTCCATCTGAGAGCGGCAGAGGCTGCTTCAAAGGAAACCAAAAGTAGTGGGCTAACACTGGCCTCGTGCTGGTGGGGAAGCTGTGCAATAGGCAGAAATGTTACATCTCTTGCCAGGGAAAAGAATACATGTGTAGGTTTGTCTTTAGTGTCATATTCATGGATTTCATCTCACACTCCCTGTCTCCTGTTCACTTCCAGTCCCCAGTGGTCCCCCATCAACAACCATCTTGGCCCCCTCAAACAAAGTGAAAGGTGGGGATGACATCAGTGTGCTCTGCACTGTCCTAGGGGAGCCTGATGTCGAGGTGGAATTCAGATGGCTCTTTCCAGGGCAGAAGGTAAGCAACATTCCTGGCCTTGGAGAGCCTTTTAAAATCACTTTTGTCCCCATTCAGTGCAAGAAACGTGTGGGCCTATGGTAGGGACCAGAGCTTATCTTCATCCAAGACAGTGGTGGTGAACCTATGGCACTCATGCCAAAGTGGGCTGTTTGTTATCAGGTTCGCCATCACTGGTCTAAGATGTTTCAGTGTATTTACAAATGTTTTCTTTTCTTTTCTTTTTTCTTTTTTTTTTGGTGCTGGGGATTGAACTTGGGACCTTGCAGTTGCGAGGCAGGTGACAGCACCACAGAGCTAAATCCCTGGCCCCACAAATGTTTTCTTTTAAAGGACAAGAAAAAAGGGATTGGCTCCATTGGCAATTCACTCAGTGTATGCTCTTCATATGCACTTTTTGTTTTCGAAAACCCTAATTAAGAAGGAACAGTGGCCTCAAAGAGGAAGGAGGGACCTCAGTCTTTAAAAGCCTGATCTGCTGGGTCTACTAAACATTAATCTTACCTCCTTCCGGTGTTGTCATAATATTCTCCATCCAAGCCGTGCCCTGTGATGGGAGCTCTGAGCAGACACCCAAGTGGGAATATAAATATAGGCCTGTCATAAAGGTGCTGTGAAGCCAGAGATCATTTAAAGATAGACTTTCCATAAAAGCAACTACAGCATATTTAGCCTTTGTGCATGTTCTGATCATTGAAATAAATAGCTTTGCTACCAACATGGAATAATCCCTTTATTGCCAGAAGAGATTTCACTTCTCAGTGGCCAATATACTTCTGACCTAAAAGCTGTCATGACTGGGAAATAACTATCCCTGAAGAGTAATATTTTCCAGCATCCTAGTACCAGGTACTTGTTATTAAAAAATGTTGCCACACTGGGACGATGTTAATAATGATTCCCAACAGAGGGCTGATATTTTTTACATTGTTAATTTCTATTTTATGAGCAGAAAATATTAACTTAGTAACATTAGTATTAAATTGATTCAGAAAACACTACATTTTAATCACTAAATTTGGCTGAAACATCTCAAAAGTGACCATTTCCGTCTAGAAAGGGATGTCATATAATCTAGGGCATCATTTTATCCATTCAGAGTACAACTTTCCTCCCTCTGAAGTCCCATGGCTCTTATGCCTAATTGTACCTCTTCTCTCCTAAGGCCGAACTAGGAGCTCTTCTTCATTTACAATGAGTGCTTTGGGCTTCTGATTTTAAATTGTGAATAAGAACCACTTGGGGAGATGTAAGAGAGCAATATAAAGATGGAAGCAGTGAAAAATTTGGTCCATATTTTTATGCTCAATACCAGTTCCATTTAGAGTTCCAAAAGGATATACTTTTTATTAAGTATAAGCTTACTGAAAAAGAGGGCAGAAAGAAATCACCAAACAGCATCCCAAAATTTAAGACTCCACTTGGAAAAAATGCAGTCTTGACTGATTACACAGTGGAAAAGCTCCCAGAACCCATGGGCACTGCATACCAAATACAAAAAGCTCACACAGAAGTGTGAGTTTTGCACTTCGAAAGGAACACTGTGTTGGGTGCATGGGAGCTGTTTAGAGCAGCTTGTCACTCTTGCTTCAGTCTGTGTTGGTGTCATTGAACAGGATGAAAGGCCTGTAACAATTCAAGATACTTGGAGGCTGATCCACAGAGGACTCGGACACACCACAAGAATCTCCCAGAGTATCATCACAGTTGAAGACTTTGAGACCATCGATGCAGGCTATTACATCTGCACTGCTCAGAATCCCCGAGGACAGACTACAGTAGCCACCACTGTTGAGTTTTCCTGACTTGGAAAGTGAAGTATCGTGAACTGATGGAAAGCCCATTTGTGTACACAATCAGTCTTGGGCTTTTTATTAGTGCTTTGCCAGAGGCTGATATCAATAGCAAGTGGCAATCCCTGCCTGTGAGTCAGATCCAGACATCCAAACTAAAAGGAAGTCATCCATCTATTAACAGAAAGCATGTATTTCTAACAGAAAGCATGTATTTTGATTGCTTACCTATGTCCATGTTTTTTATACTAAAAAAGCATATACACCAACAACCTTATATAATCATTTCTATTAAATGAGCAAGTTTTTATAAAAAATTTAAAAATGGGTTAAGTGCTTGTTTTTTAAGTTGGCTTAAAGGATACTAAGAAAGATTTGTTGACAGTAATACTTCAGTCAATATATAGGGTTCTCTTTGATGTAATAATCCTACTACATCAGATTTTTTAAATGTACTAATACATAGTTCAGCTACTTATCTACAAGCAGCAACTTAAGTTTCAAATGCTTAGACATATCACTTTTCCTCAGTAGCAATTTTAAAGCTAATGTGATTTTACAAAGGTATCAAAAAAATCAAGTATACTTGCTTCTTTGTAAATGGATGAACTCTAAAGTCCTAATTTTAGATTATTCAATAAGAACTAGAACATGTGTTTTTAGAGGTTTAACTTTCAACATAGATAACACAGATTAAGAAATATTTAATTTTTTGAATGGTGTCAAAAGTTTATTTGAAAAGTGAAAGGTCAAGGGGTAAGGGAAAAACTGGCTCTGCAGAGCACACTTGGGCCAAGCGAATGAAAGGAGAAAAAGAGCAAAAATAAAAGTACACCCTGGTCTAGAAGGGTTACTGTGAAGAGTCATGCTAGACAAGAAATATTTAACCTTGTCTAGACCTATCTTTAAAAGTATTTAGAGTGCAGTGTATTAAAACCAGGCAAAATTTCTCAAATACATGTCTTTGAATTTAAAAAAGCTCAGCCCTAACTCTAGCTCTGTGAGCCCATTTTAGTCCATGACAAATTCCATGGTTTGGACTAGAAATTTCTGTGAAATGGCTTAGGAGACATAATCTTGGTTATAAGAAGTACAATGAGTGACATTTTGAAAAGTAAAATAGACCAGAGGCTGCAATTCTTATATTGGATATTCCAGCATTATTTATTTGATCAAAATAAAAAATTTTCCATCACTACAAACAGCACAGCTACCACTGTTTACACATCTATTTTGATGACGTGCCAACATTTTGCATCCTGTGTGAAACATTTGGTTTAAACAAATCTCAAAAATTCTCTATTTCCTATATTCTCTCCTGTTGTCTCCCATCCTCTGAGAACATTTTTGTTAATTGCTGTAAGATTTCCAAGACACCTAAACAATATGGAGGATAGCAGGGAATAGCATGAGATTACAATGCATAGGGGATGAATGGCAAACCCAACTTTGGCCAGTGTCATTGAGAACAACATAGAAGTGGGAGCAGAGATATTCCAGGAGCGGGCAGTGAATCTATGACCCACTTATCGGAAGCAAACATGGAAGTTACATACATAATAAACTCTTGGAGGTTAAAGACCTCAAACACAATCACTATTTAAAATAAACATGCATGATGAATATCAATTGGCCATGTATTGTATTGTACATGTAGCTGATGACTCAAATACCCACCTCTAGTTTCCTAATCTGTTCTTACTATAGGGGCTATTTGCACAGCCATCCAATGCAGATTAGTAAATACTGACACATCACAAGATTGACATGCAGGGAGGGATGGGAGGAAAAGCCACAGTTGTCCTACCACCTTCCACAAAGTTTTGAGCTGGGGGTGGATAAGGGAAGTTCTAAAAAGTTCAAATGTAACTTGGAGAGTTGTCAAGCCACATTTTCCACTTGTCAGCTGGCTATGCTGCTACCTTTCTAAAGAAAGG